GTTCTTGTATCAATTTTATTATATCTTAATACTTTATAAATTACTCATATTATTAGAGATATAAATATGTTGATAATATTAAATCAATAGCTAGATATATATAGATTATTTTTATTAATTTTTGAACTTTGGTAAATAATTAAATAATATCTTGTGAGTGTTGCTAATTTTTATTAAGACCTTTAAAATTCAATTATTATTAGTAATAGATCTATATGTTTGAATAATAAGTAGTATCAAATGTATGGTTAGGCTTTGATTAAAAATTGATTATGACTTGAATTTGATAAAAAATATCGAACATGTTTAAACTCATTTCTAACTCTACAAGAAAAAAAATGAATGAGGTAGGACTGGGCTCGACTTTGTTCATTTATATCCCTATATATATCAAATTATTTGTAGCTACTAACAGATTGCTTTTTTTTTTTTAAGAAATTGACATGTTTGGATAATAATTTCTTGGGTGATATACAAGTCATTTTATTGGCATATATTAATTAAAGTTGATCATATCTAAATGCAATGCTTTCTGATTTTTTAAACTAAATCATTTCGGATTTTTTTGCAAATATTATATATGTGATAAATGATATTATTGGTATCTAGATATATTACATGTTTGTGGTGTTGCATTGTTGCAATTGTGTGTTTCGAGTTCCCTTGAGAAGGTCAAGGGTTCATGTATGCTTGATATTCTACCATAAAACTTATGCTTAGATTGGTGAACTGAATTCAAATTTAAAATTAATTGGTGCTATAGCACGTTTCCCACAAGTGATGCATCATGATTTAATTTGATTCTAGATAGTAGACAGTGGTATGTTAGAGTTTGCTCATAAGAAACCTGTTATTCAATTGATTGTGTTGGAATGTATGCGAGGGTTGATTGACGCATGTATTGCAAATATTCATGATAATTTAACCCAATAATGATGACAAGTGAGGATTGAATTAATCTAAAACTATACTTACTACATGAAGTTTAGGGATTTAGATTAGAATAGATGAGAATTAGTGTGCATAATGAGTAAAAAATATTGTATCTTTTGTTTCTAGAAATTAAATGGAAAGAGGAAAAGCCTAATAACACTCGGAAGGTTAAAAGTTATAACATGCTGAAAAAGTTAATAATAGAAAATCAGGTTGAGGTAGTAGTGGATGGAGAATTGAAATATTAAATTGTTTAATTATTAGTGATGATATTATAGGAGTGGCTAGTGATTTTGTTGTTTATGTGAATTAGTGTGTTAACTCAATTGATTTTGGGATGACATGGATGAACTATTATATGCACACTTGAGGGTGAAGAATGATAATTATTGTGGGTAGTTTAAATGGATCTATATATTGTAATAGAGGTGGGGTATGGGTATGTTCATTGGCTTGCATGAAGTAGTTAATAAAAAAAGATGAAAATTTTACTTAATTTCATAGTAGGTCATGATCTTGTTGCAAAGAATGCATATGTTAAGAAATTTACTTATTTACCTTCACCATTGGATTGTATCATTTGAATAGGTTTCATTTTTTGCGAAATTATATGGTGATCTCGGGAAAAATTTTGACTAAATAATATATAAGAGTTATGGATTCATAACTTAGGACTACAAGGAGTATAAGGAAACTAACTAACGTAGGAGTGTCCCGTTATATTCCGAGAGCATCCCGCTACAGTCCTGTGAGCGATACCGCAATCTTGAGCGCGGTAATACCACAATATGCGGAATTGTGGCTCAGACGGGGGGAGCGTCGATTTCCAAATTCCGGCATACCTTTTTTTCCTTTTTTATTTCATTCCTATTTTTTCTATTTTTAGTTATGTTTTTTCTTTGAGAGAATTATATAGATCTTTATTGTTTTATAGACTTTTGTTTTGTTTTGAGTATTTTGGATATCGTAATCTCCATTTCTACCTTAAGGGTGTTGTATTCTCTTTTTTTTGCAAGTGGTGTGTTAGTAGCTTGTGCAAAAATATGTGGTGAACCTCTTTAAGCTCCATGCCTATCGTTTCAAAGCTTTCCTTGTTTTTTTTAGCCGGGACAACCACTAAACGATGCTTATCCATGTCCAAATATCGTCGAAATTGCATATTGTCTTTCTCTTGTTATCCCACAATCACCTCCCTACAAAACTCGCTTCCTAAACACTTTTTAAGAGATCTAGAACGGTATTATCTTGTATTAGAGCTAGACAAACCCTAGTTTCTTAGTGTTTTGTATTCCTTGTCCCAAACCAAGATTCTAAATAAACTAACCTAACACACTCACAAAAAAAAAAAAAATCCATTCTATCTACCTAGTCGTAGTCCTAAACAAAAATCCTAAACGATCCATTCTATCTACCTAGTCGGTAGTCCTAAACAAAAATCCTAAACGATTTTCCTTTTTGTCAAAACTTCTGTTGGAAGAACGGTCTCATGTTGCCAAGGAGAAATCTGTAATGAGATGTTGAGGAGCTCATTGTGGAGGACATGCATCAAGAAATATTCTAACCACAATAGAGGTCGTCTTTGAGATGAGATAATCCAATGAGATCACTCATAGCTAAAATGGTGACTCATTAGATCGAGAGAATGAAGTGATTTTTTTCCATCAAGCAATTTTGGGTGGTGAAGGACTAAAAACCTGAAGATTTGACATGGAATATCTTAAAAGAAGCCAAGATTTTATAATGAAGATTGACTTGTTAGATTTTGACGATTGCATGAATCCAGGCGGATTCATTAAGTGGCTCAAAGCAATAAAACAATTCTTTAAATATAAGAACGTTCCACCGTACATAATGGTAAAGCTAACCGCTAAGCTTAAGAAAAGTGAATCTCTGTGGTGGGAGAACTTGAAGCTTCTCTACAACGGGAAGGAAAAAGCAAATTCACCAACTGGTCTAAAATGAAAATGAAAATCATTTTAAATAACTTTCCCCACACTACTAGTAGGATATGCTCATAATACTCCATAACGTGCTCCATAGAGATTCTTCTATGAAGTAAATAGTTGAGTTTGATCAACTCAGACTGAAATGTGAGTTGGTGGGACTAGAGGAGCACACAAGAGCATGGTATCTTGGAGGGCTGAGGTTGTCTATTAGTAATGTGATGCAGTGCAGTCATATTGGTTCTTACTTCATATACAAACCCTAGCTTTGAAGATGAAAATAGCAACCTCATCAAGTGACCTCTACACCTTACAAACAAGGTTCAATTCCATGATTATACAAGTGTATATCAGTGGAGGATTCAAGTTGACCTTGTCTTTGGAAAAATCGGTTCAAAGTGGAGACGACTAACACTCTCAAATTTGTCCAAGCAAGGAAGTGTGTCAAGTGTCATGGTTTTTAGTATATTGTATTTGATTGCCCAAACGAAAGGGTGATATCCTTCACTCAGCGGGGAGCAGTTGAAGAAATAGACAGTGACACATGAGACATTGAAGAAGATGAGCACACAAAAGAGAAGTACCAGTTTTTCAGCTGATAATGGAGAGATGCAAATAATTCAAGTGAATGTCATGAGAGACTCAAGCAGGACTAACATTAGTTGTCATAGAATTTTGTAAGTCTGAGGAGGCAATACCTGAAAGGAGCAACTCATATTGAGGGAGTTGTCGGATGTCCTGACTATTAGTTTACTTCTTGGTTGCAGTCATTGAGTGGTCCAAAATGCCATATATTTTATTCTAGGGTCGGTTTATCTAGATACACTTATTTATCAGATGCGCCCAACCAAGTACAAGGAGTGGGAGAAATATATTACTTATTTAATGACTCGAGTGAATCGTGAGAATACCCGTTTATGTCCAATTTTAACTCTGGTTGTGCCAAAAATGAATTGTTATTTACTCTATCAAGACAAACTGTGAAATGATGTGTGTTTTAGAGTTGTCTGAGAGGAGCATGAGCATATGTTTTGTAGAGGTGTTGTGTCAATCACAACGATGCAATGGCTTTATTCTGATGATGGTAGATCAATTTCAGAGGAATACATAGAAGAAGAAGCTCTCCTAGCTAGAGAGAATGATGCGGGAGCGCACCATAGTCCCTAGAGCATCCCACTACAGTCTCGAGAATGATACCGTGATCCCGATCGTGATAATTTCGTGATACCGGGAAACCGGGGCTCTTGCAATCGCAGGTTCAAATCGGGTAGGGGAGCGCTGATTTTCAAATTTTTGTACTTTTTTTTTTTTGAATTTCCTATTTAACTATTTTTAATTAAATTTTTTCTATGAGGGAATTATATTTATTTTGTTACTTGATTTTAGATTTGTTTTTTGTTTTGGGTATTATGGAGATTGTAATCTTTATTTCTACCTTAAGGAGAGTTGTATCCTCTTTATTTTGCAAGTGATGTATCTGTTGCTTGTGTAGGAATATGTGATGAACCTCCTTGACCACCATATCTCATATTTTCAGAGCTTTCTTTGTTGTTATCAACTGGGATGGCCGTCAAATGATGCTTATTACAGTCCAAACATCGTTGAATTCGTATATTACCTTTTCCTTGCCATCCCACAACCACCTTGCACAAAGCCTACTTACTAAACACCTAGGAGTCCTAGAATGATATCACTAGCTATGATAAATAATTTGCTTCGGATGAGATGATGGAATTTAAAAGATGAGAAACTATCTATTTCAAGTTAGATTGCTAAGAAAAGTAAATTGAGGTTCTTCTATTTTATAGCTAAATCTAATGCTGCATTAGATTGCTAGGTTCGATGAGATGGTTTTTGGTAAAGATTGAAGAGAGTTTGGCAGCACATTGTACCTTGTAAGGAGATTTTGTGGTGCAATGAAAGATAAAGTGAAATATTCCATGTTCTCGCATCTTCTGGCTTCATGTTTTGCCCTTTTTGTGTTGCCTCTGTATGATATGAAGAACATCATTTTCTAACACCTTGCACTTTTTTTATCACTTAAAATGTCATTCTACATTTCACAATTTTTAGCCATATATTTAAACGCTTGATTGTAGTAACCATCCTTGCCTTCTTCTGCAGGGCGTGGTTGCTTCTCTCGCTTCGGATGAAAATGTTTGGAATGCAGTCATGAAAAATGAAAAAGTTCAACAGTTCTGCATGAACGCTTCACCTGGTTTGGAAAACCAACTTAATAATACTTTGGTGCATTTACACACTACCCTATTCCTGTGTATTTGCATATCTAACACCCACCCAAAATTTAATTTTTACACATACGCCACCCAAATCTTTCATATCACATCAAAAATACACCTTTTCATTCATTGGTAAGGTGGCATCTGTACATAAAATATTGAAGTTTTGGTGTTCGGTATATGAATACAAATGAATTGTGTAGTATGTATGTAAATTTTCCTAATGACCATTTCACCATATATATAAGATGATTCCATCTATTTCTTTCGACAGCCGTAACTCAAATATTTACGGATCCAGCTGAATCCGTTGCTAGCAAGTCCGGCTTTTCGACGACAATGGAAAGCGGAAAAACCTCGCAGGACTCTTTCGTGATGGATTTACTGAATAACATCAATAACATCAAGGTTAAAGTAACGCAGGTGATGAGCAATATTTCAGACTACCTCCAAGATATATTTGGGATATCCAGCGAGAAGGAAACAAGCAGCAGTGATGATAAACATACCAACAAGGCGCTCGGAGCCTCCTTCCTGGCATTAGCTGTTGCATCCATTCTGATTGTTCTGCTTAAGAGGGCGTAGTTCTCTTTTAATGTCATGTATTTTATATGGAATTTGTCGACACAGACTGATGAAACCTGGATGCTTGTGATCTTGGTATGAACTTATCTATGTGTATATTTTGGATGAATTTAGCTGTCTCTATCTTATTTATGAGTCTATACGCGCGTGCATAATATGTTGTTGTACAAGGATGGTTGTTCTCGATCCGTTTTGAGGTTATGTTTGTGTGTTGATGAGGGATATTGTTAGCTTTGATGATTTTTCTTCTTATTATTATTTATGGAACTTCAATGGTTATTAGAGACTTATGTGGTAAAACAGTATCATGCAACGAATCACAATGAATTTTTCCTTGCTTTTTATAGCTGACTTCAGGAACCATGCCCGGTGCTCGAAACTTGGAGTTTATTTGCGGCGTGTCTTTTTTTTTTTTAACGTTTTATGTTCAAATATAAATTGTTTAAGATTGCATTTAAATTTTCTCGTGGTAACAATAATTATCTTTGTAAACAGTTGCAATCATCTGAAACGGGCATTTAATTTGGCCTAAAAGTGGACGTTTTAAAAAAAAAGAAAAATGATTAAATTTATCAAATGAAACTAAAAATTAAAATAAAATGCTATTTATAATAACATTTTGCAAGCTTAGTTTTTCAGTCTGTTTTATCAAGTTAAATTGTGCCCTTGGAATATGTACATTAAAATTCTGATTATATAAATCTTGAAGAAGTTCGACAAATGCGTGAAAAGAATATCAAAGAACAACGATACCATCGTCGAAAGGTCGAATCGCCAATCATCACTTCACTAGGTTTAGGGTCATGCGTCGACCAGATAAAAGTACATCTGAGCAAAGAAACTCCACGCACCTGAATGGATGGCAACTTAATCGATGCTAGGTCAGTTGGAGAAGATCAATGGTTGCTCAACAAAACTCTCTCAGGAACTTTTGTGCTCTCATCTTCAGGAAGGCTACCTATCAAAGTACCGTGATACACACTCTCTCTAGTTGAATAAATTCTTCCTATGAAGACGAATGAAAATCTATTGGCAGGGTAAATGATATTTAACCGACCGAACAATGATCAAACAACCAAGTAAGGTGATTATGAATTTAAAATAATGCTAGTAGTAGTTATAAATATGAAACGATGTCGACAGCGATTTTCAGAGTCAAAAGAAATTGGAGTTGATAACAAATACGTAAAGGTGTAATGACTCGTAAATCACTTGTAACATTCCTATTAAGTGAGGGACAAACATGAAATATATTAGACTTCTGCTATAACCTGAAAATAGAGGGTCATTTCTTCAGGTAAGGCTACTAAATCTATTCTAAGAGAATTAGTATTATTTGTTACTTACTCTCTTGCTCTTACTCTCCCCCCTCTCTATTCTCTCATTCTTCTCATTTGACCAACACCCATTGGGCGTGACCCGATGGAAAAATTTGGGATTCAATATCCTAAAAGATAATGTTAGCATGGAGTCATGCCTTCAATATGAAGATGAGCGTGTCGAGAAGAAATACACTTGGGAGAAACTTCTAATTTGGAGTCCAAAGAGAATTTGTGCAACAATGAATTTAGAAACTCCTGGATTGGATTGCAGGTCAGATTGCAGAACTGACCCACTTGATGCCTGAGGGGAGAGCATAGCCTCTCCTACAACCTAATCCTCCAACACCTGACCCCAAGGCCATCAAATGGCTTAAGGAGCCTAACAAATGGAAGAATCACAGTACCAAGATAGTGTTGGGTCCATGCCATAGAACAGACCACCGAAAGCTTGAATGGAGGTCTATCGCCAACTGGAGAATACACTCTCCTGACAGATTATTGACGTAGAGCCCCCTAAGAAGGTCTAGGTTCATCTTTCAAACCGTACAAAGGTAGGAGCGATATGGCCGATCACATTGCATCCTTTGAGTCGGCTATATGTTTTCTCAAAGTTTTGACGCACTAAAGTGTCAATTGTTTTACACAAAACCGAGGGATTCAACTCTCTCGTGATTTAGTGGACTTCCAATTGTAATTATGACCTCCTTTGGAGAATTCAAAAAGTTATTGATGACGATGTTTGCTAGCGCCCAAAAGCCCCACAAGATCTCGGAAGCTCTTTAGCACGTCAAACAGGAGCTCAATAAGACCCTGCGGGTGTTGTCACATGGTTCCAAAAAGAGATGCTTGAGGTATAGAATTCAGAGCTGCAATTTTGAAGGCTGCCCTAGACCCCCCCAACTAAGCGTGACCCAGACAAGTTGCATGCTTGTTTGTCTTTCCTGCTGACACTATTTTCGTGCAAGTTGAATCTTTTTCATTTTTCCTTATGGACTTTTTTGAGTCCTTAGAAGAATCCTGTTGCTGAAATAAGATACAGACACGACTTCTGAAACTTTTGGTTTTGGAACCACAAAGCGGGGGACCAAGAGCAACAACTCTTGTTCTGTATCTTAATTATGCATTTGCTATTGATGTATATATTTTGGACCGAGCATGTATAAGCGGAGTTCAACTGTCTTTTTTTTATTTTTTGGGATATGTTGTCAACCCAACGACAACGATCTTTTCTTATAATTTTGATTTAGCTTGTTTTTATTATTTTCTACTGCAAATTTATGTTGTGAATTGGCACAAGTTTCATATGAGATCCTGGTCCACAGGAAAACAACTTGTAATTTTGTGTTCTTGTTGAAGAAAACAGTAAATCGAATGACAAAATGGATGATTATGGGATTCTCGAAGAAGTTGTTGGACTATCTTATCCTGGCTCCATTGGAGGAAGTGTATTTCTATTCAACTGTGCTTGGTTCGATTATGTTCCTGATCTTGGAACAAGTTTAAACCAACCATATAATATTGTAGGAAGTGGAAGTGAAAAAAAGTTGTTAAAATTGATCCCTTTATTCTAGCTCGATAAAAGAGCCAGGTTTACTATCTTTGATATCCTCATAGAGCAAGAGATAATGTTGACAGGGTGGTTATCATATCAAGTAAACTTAGAGTCGCAATTGATTTCAGAATAATATTGAACCCGCTCATCATGAAACTAAAGTATTGGATTTATGTTTTCTACTCGATACTATCTATGAAGGGCTAAATTTAAAGGATGTTAGAGGTGAACACGAATAAATTACTCTAGGTGATGAACACATCATTATCTGTCAAAGAAGAACCTTATGAGAGGTTGCTCGCTTTCTACCCCCACGACCACCCCCACCCCACCCCGAACCCCATCCCGACCCTCATCTCCCCGCCCCCCACCCCAACTCCCACTCCTCATCCCTCCAACCCCTACCTTTACCTACACCCCAACTGCAACGGGGATGAGTTCGGTGGAGGTCCACACTGCATCTATTAGCCATGAGTCGACATGCAACAACTAATGCATTGAGTTTATCGGGAACGCGTAAGTTTTTTTTTTAAGATAATGACAGCAATCCTTCTATTATTTTAATTGAATAAATAACTAATCATTTGTTATTTTTAGGTTTTACCCCTCAACACAGTTTATTCACGCCATTAGGGATATCATCCGGAGAAAGCATGTCTTAGCGTACATATCCTAGAAGGAGAACCTGATGACAATTTAGGATCTTTGGTTCCAGGAGTTTGTGGTTGATATCTATCACATAATTCATGTAATTTTGTAGAAACAATTCTCCTGTCGTCTTGAGCATGAAGCACACATCCGACACAACTTTGAGCGCAAGGATAGAGATTGCCTACGGGACATGTTTGACGATATTCGGAAATTGCAGCAGTGTCTTTTGTGGCGCAGAGATAATGTTTTTTTCCTCACTGTTCAGAACTTGGGATTCTCCAGAGTACCAAAAGAAGAGAAGCAGGCGAATCAGAACTGATGCTCGAACTGCAGAGGTTTGGGAGCCTCCAAGCACACTGGTGGGATGCTCTCACACACAAAATACAAGCGGAGGCCGGTAATACTTTATTTTTGCTTAAAGTTTTACTATAAATCAAATAAATACTCTAACTATTTCATTATATTGACAGACTGTGCAAAAGAGATAAGTGCCCTCAGTTGCTGATGTACACAAGCACACCCATAGAAGACAGTCAGACCAGTCATGGATCAACATAGATCTCGTGCTACCTAAGTAATTCACGAGCTAAACGAGTTTGATATTTATTAACACTAGCTCTAACTGTAAGAAACTACTTTTTTTGCATAATAAATTCCAACAACTGAAGGAGAGCCGATTCCAGGCATCAAGCGGTATTACGATCCGAGATCATGTTCAGTTTGAGGAAGACCTATGAAGGGAGGATGTCGAAGGGAAGAAGAAGGGTCGAGTCTATGGGCTCGAGTCTCATGTGTTCACCTACGACGCTCACCCCTCCACCAATGCATTTGCAGTTCTACTTCTATGACACAAGAAAAGGAGGTCTCCAGGTGTGTCGTCGTATTAGCTGCTAAGATGGATGCCCGCTTCATCAAATGAGGTCGGAGCTGAAGGCTAATTTGGAGGCCTAGTTGAAGGCTGAGTTAGATGCATTCCAGCAGCGGGCGAAGCAACAGAGGAAGCCACTATTGGAGAAGGAGGATGACGATGATGAGGAGAAGGCAGAGGAGGATTAGCTGGGATTTTTTTCATTTTATTTTTATATGATTTTTTTGAACAATTGAACAGATATTTTCGTATTAAACGGTGATGCATTTATGCTAAATTAAATGCATTTCATTTATTTAGTTGTTCCATTAGATAATTCATTATTCAAATGTGATTTTATTTTATAAAATGCTTGGATTGGTTAAGTTGTATTGTGATTGCAAGTGTGGAAATCATAAATAAGAAAGAAAGAATTTGTTTTTTTTTCTTAATGTTACAGGTTTCCATCTGCTCACCATCGATTTTATGATGATTACTCCATTAATTATCCCCATAACCGACAACATATCCCGTCGGTTATATTAGCATCGCGTTGTCGACAGGTATTCGACGGATATTGCTACAATAAAAACCAACGGCTAAATGATGGCCCTCTCGTCGGGTAAAATAACGATGCACGCTCGACCCCTAGCCGAAGGATCACCTGTGTCATAAAAATGGCAGCTGCGGTACTTTTCCAATGGTTACTTAGTCACTACTTTTCGACTGTTAGTTCGTCGGCTATC